GTAAGGTTGTTAACAACCTGTAGCGAGAATTCCTTGCATTGGGCACGGCTGTTCGTAAAACCAATATGTATGTATGACACATTGACTGGAGGCTTGGGGTTCCTCATTGCGAACAGTTGAACCCTGTCGCAGGACCTGGAAACTGCATCCAAAGAGGCGCAGACTCGAATTGAAGAGTTGAGCCATGGAAAGCAGCGGCCTTGGAGAAGTTCCCGTGGTGACTTTTCAGAGGTTTTTTTGCCAGACCCAAATGTAGAAGATGATGAATGTATGCCGCGTAGCCCTTTGATGTTCTTGAAGTGGTTGATGCGCGCCACCGGAGGGCTCGTTGCAATATTTGTGATCTTCATGTTCTGGGCTCTCTTGCGAAGCATTGACATGAAATGCACTGTGAATTTCAGCCACGGCCCAGGATGCCCCCAAAGTTCGTGCTTTTGCACTGACTGCGACCTTCTCCTCATGTGTTTGACTGGAAGATATTGGGAGCAACAGCACTATGAATGTGAGATCTTAGGGTTGGCGCTGAACCGATGTCGCTTGACCCTTTTCTCAAATTTATCGTGGCTAGTTGCAACTTCAATATTGGGCTGGCGGACCTGTCGAGATTGTGAACGAGATCGAGCACAGATGTTGCTGGTTGTCATACCATATGTGCTTACAGCAACATCTGCCATTCCGCTCTGGAACGCTTGCTTGTCGCGGAGCAGGTGGGTGTTCGCAATTTCAGTGATATACAATATTATCAACACATGCTTGCTCGCTTCCTCAGTGTCTATTGTACTGCGGTTGGCTTCCCTGCAGCAAAAGCAGGAATGCTGTGGCCGATTTTTCGACATGCTGTCAAGGCAGTTTTTATGCAGTTTCGCACCCGCTGCAGTGCTCGGGGAGTTCTGCGTCATGCTTTGGACGAAGTCTACCGAATCACTTGAAGAGTCCTTCGAAGAGTTTTTCGAACAGGAAAACAAGTTCTATCTTTTGTATTTAGTGCTTGGTTTGTTCTTTTCATCGATAGCCTGGGGACTGGTCGATGGAATCTCCATGAAGTACAACGGCTACCTTCGCTTGCAGATGAAGGGAATTGTTCACTGGCTCCTAATAACAACTGTGGCATGGAGCGCTTTTCGCTGTGGACAATGGCTACTGACTTGCCACCATTATCACACACTGATCAAGCAGTATAGCTTGTTGCTGATCCAGATGGAACGCCTAGCACTTCTGCAAATCCTAGAGCTGATCAAACGCTTCACGCTGCGTTACGCTCAATTGAATGCGGTGCAGCGGAAATGGGCTGAACAGGCAGTTGCAATTTGTTGATGTTGTACTCCATGTTGGACGGGCCGCCCATCGGCTGAACACCATCACAGAGGTGGTTGGAGCTAGGGGAGTTGAAGTGGTTGCCCCGTCGCCCTATTTTGAGACAAACCAAACCAGTGGTTAAAAAACAATGTTTTCAACTTCCCTAGCAGTTTCTGGCTCGATCTGCTCATCTTCCCCCTGTCTTGTCGTTCTTTGCGATTCATTTTTGCTCCCGTCCGCAGGTTCATGGACCAAATTTGGCAGAAATGTTGGCAAAGGGTCGTTATAGCCTTTTTTTGCAGCATGTACTTCCTTTGTTTTGCTTCACGCTGAAGTGAGGAAGGAAGCAGCAGGTCCGGAATCACGCTCGTGGGGGCCAACCCAAAGAAGAATGGAACTAGTATATAGCGTCCTTGCTCCTAGTAGCGATTCCCTTTGTTCCTAGTAGCTTCTTGTTCCTAGTAGTATATAATGGCCTCCAACCTAG